TATGGCATTTTTGTCGCGTTCGATTGGAGCACCAGTATAGACCAAAATGCTCCACATATATAACAGCGCCACCTTCAGTGTAAGTCGATAGAACCCGATTTGTAGGACCTTTGCAGTAGTCCTCTCTTTTCTCTCCCCTTTGCTGTGGCATCTTTTAATTGCTTGGGAAGCAAAGTCGTTCAAGAAGTAGGGGTCATCATCCTGCATCAATCTGTTCTTGCCCTGGCTATTCAAGTAGGGAAGCAAAACACCACTAACGAGAAAATTGACAATGTCAGTATACCACGACAATGCTGTGGCAAATAATAATTTCTCATCAGGGAATTGTTTCTCCATTTTATTCCTTAGTGCTTTAACAATTTATAGGCCTAGAAAAATGGCAACTAATTGGGGTTGAGTAAATTCAATGAAATCCACAGGTTCAGATTTCGTACCTGGTCTAGCTATGAGTAAGCTAGACTGACCCGTCTCCTTTGAAATATCCTTAAGCTCATCTTTGTCTTCTTCATCGAGCTTCAAGTACTCACAAGTGCCTACAAAATTGTCGTGGCATAATTCTGCAGCTTCCTTTTGATCATCTACTTCTGTTAGTGGGGTTTTTTTCTTTTTCCGTGGCATTATTTTGCATGCCATAATTGGGTTTACTCATTGAACCTTCAACGTTGTTCTCCAACGAATGTGAGTCCTCTTGCAATTGAGATTCTTTATGCATAATCTCATAGTTGGGTTCTTCGAGTGTTTCCCCCCCCAAACTTAGCATCTTTGTAGATCTGGGTGCCACTCCCTAAGGTGAATGTATTAAATTTCTCACTGCCTGTAGCCTTAGTGACTTCAGTATCACTAGGCAATCTGTCTGGTTGGTATTCTTGTAATGCCTTGGCAATATAACCCACTTGCATTTCCAAAGCCCTCAAAGACAAATTATGACTTTACAATAATGCCCCTTGGCTTTGTAATAATTCTTCTTGACTCTTAATAGATGCATCATGATCTTGTAATAGAGCCTTTTTAGTTGCCATAAAGTCTTGCATAGTGGCCTCTAGAGAACTTATATTAAGTGAAGATGTTGTCCCCTTAAAAGTATACCATGGCATATTCGTTCGCAAGGCTGGGGGCTCATCCATATACTGCTGCTGAGCGAGATGACTGACATTACAAGCTCCTTGATTTTCCCATGAGAAATTGGGATGATGACTCCATCCATTGAAGCTTTCCATATAGTTGATAGACTTTTGATTGTTCGGGCATTCACATTCATGGTGATTGTCTTGGCATAACAGACATGCCAAGCTATCATCCTTCACTTCTTTCACTTCCTTAGAATTTTGTAAATTCTTCAACATATTGGTGATGGTAGAGAGTTAGGCCGACACTGAATCTTTAGCTTCCAACTTGAATTTCCCAGATGCTTTCCTTCTAGTTTCAAACCTTGAAGAGGGAAATTGGTAATCGTGGTTAGTAATTCGATCAAGAATGCTAAAAGCCTCTTCAGGTGATTTGTCAAGTAAAGTGTCATTTGTCTAGGCATCTAACATCATCCTCGTGGGTGCATTGGCTCCATTGTAGAACATCACAACTTGGGTCCAGTCGTGGAATCCATGGTTGGTACATTTGCGAATCAATTCTTTATAGCGGTCCCAACACTCATGCATTGACTCGTCATCAGCTTGGTGAAAAGATGCTATGGCAGATGGTTGTTCATATTCGGTGGATTATGCCGTAGCAAAAAAATTTTGCACAAGTCAGCCCAAGACCGTATCGAGCCAGAAGGTAATCCATTGAACCATGCCCTGGCATCATCTTTCAAAGAATATGGAAATAACTTCAATTTCAGCACATCTTCATGCACACCTTCTTGTCGAAATGAGTCACAGACCTCCAAAAATTCTCGAACATGTTGCCTTGCATCCTCATGAGGAGCACCACCAAACTTTCCAATCAAGTCCAACATGTCGAACATAATTGGTTTAAGCTCGAATTGGGTTGCCTGAATCTTGGGAGCTATAATAGCAGGTTTTAGGTCATCCAAGGTGGGAGCTAAGTAATCTCTAATAGTTTGTGGTCGAGCAGCATTCACAGCATTTGTAATTGTCGTGGCATTTAGAACTGCAGGATCCTTCACTTGATTTTGAACAACATGAGCCTCAGGTTCTATATGAAATAATGGTTATTTGGGTCTTTTACATGTCATGTGACAACTTAACAATTGAAAAAGGTAAACACAAAAACAAGTAACTATGTACAAAGAAAATAAATAAAACGGTGCAATAACTAAACTCAACATCGCCAATTGCCAATCCCCGGCAACGGCGCCAAAAACTTGTTCGCGTATTGTGAGTACTATAAAATATACGCAAATAATATGCAAGTAATAAAGTGATGAGTGAGTATCGTCTCCACAGGGATTGGAAGGATATTGAGTAAAGTTTATGCACTATTCTATCTAAGTATAGTTAGTCTTGATATATACAAATGTCACGGCAATGGATATGTGTATGCTGGTGAATGTGGATTGATGGTGTAGCAAATGGAAATGCAGTGGCAATAATAGATGTTTAGTGTTGAAAATGATTAAATGTCAAGACAATGAAAATGGTAAAAACAGTAAATAAAAGATAAATAAAATGAAAAGAAGATAATCCTCACGTGACAAGCTTTCAATGGAATGAATGGTAGGGATTGATCTAAGAATGCTAAACTGATCTCTCAGACAGATATAAGCTATCTGGTCTTTACTTACTCGACAGGGCTTTCCTAAAATGTTCTCACAGGAACCTAACAAAATAGGATGCTAAGGCATCTTCTCTATCTCAACGATGTTGGACAGCCTACCTTATTAATAAAGACACCCTTTTTAGTCGTTGAAATCCTATCCTAGTCTCTTCCGAGATCTAAGGGATTAGGTTATAATATTCCTAGGCCGGTTCAAAGCCCCTTGAAAATACTATAACCCATTGCTTATGAGGATCTTGTCTTGCGTTTCTTCCGAATACTTACAAGTATTTTTAGCTTAGGATTCTTCCGAACACCTAACCTTCATCTAAGAAATGGAAATTTTCATGCCTCTTATAAGACTAAATGGTGAAGCATTCATAAGCAAAGCAAATAAAGAACCAAAATAAACTTAAATATACCATTAAAAATAAAGTTTAAACAACCATTAAATCAACTACCACCAAATAAGTTAGTTCATGGTGGGGTTCGAAATATCCATAGAAAAATCCACTAAATATTCGTTCCAACAACCCACAAATAAAATAAATAAAATAACAGCAAAGGGAAGTGAGAAAGAGCCTTCGAAGCGCCACCGGAGGCCTCCTCGGCCACCACGAACCGCCTTAGCTCGCTAGCTCCTCTCGGCGCCTAGCTCGCCACTCCTTGAAGCTTTATCAATGGAGGAAAACCCAAGGAAGAAGAAAGGAAAAGGGAAAATAAAAATCTGATTTTTCTACTACAATATGTGTTTCCTTTCTTCTACACACTCTCTTTCTTGTGAGGTGTAATATATAATAAAAATATCTAGATGTAATGATGAGGTTGTTGGGATATTGTTGGGTGCAAAATACCCCTCATACCTCTAGAATCACATGTTGTGCATGAACCTTATCCTCCAGGTGGCAGTGGTCCCCTAACAGGCTGTTACAGCCATCATTTCACGTACAGAGCCAGCTGTCCACATACAACTGTATATTTTTGTCATTTTCTGCGCCAGAAATACCAAGGCATTTCAATCTGCTTCAGCAATATGTGATGACGCGGCATTACTTCCCAGCTCGCCTATTTTGCTTGTTATTTCCTGCACATACTAAAAATCACACCTTCCTCTTCATATAGCACCTTAATAAAATAAAATAACACAACCACCAAAAATGCAATTATATGCAGCTACATACATCTAAAAGGACATATATGTACCCTTAAACAAACAATAACTTAAGTTGAAAAGACCTTAAAAATAGTCTTTTTACGGAGTTATCAAATACCTTACACCTTAGGGTATGTTTAATTTACGGAATGTAAGATTACCAGTGGGAATAAAAGATTACCAGGGAATAGGATTACTGGGAATGCTGTATTTTGTGTTTGGTTGGTTTAGCAGGAATGTAAGATTATCGTGTTTGGTTAAAGGAATAAAAGATTATTGGAATGTATATTTAACCAAATTGTCCTTATTATATATTTGTATAATATTACAAGTTGTAAAATATTTATATATTTTCTTTAAAAAAATTAAATTCATAAAATTTATATAATTTTTTTACAAAATTAAAAATATAAAAAATATTTAATGAAAAGGTAAAATTTTATTTTAACCCTTGAACTTCATATAAAATTTTAATTATAGATTTTTTTTTGTAAATTTAAAGTAGTTTAAGGATAAATTTGTAATTTAACCTTCGTAAAATTTTTATTATTCAATGACAGATAAAATATATTTTTGAAAAAAAAATTAGGGCATTTTAGTCCAAAACGCTGGTAATGTTACAATACCTAAGGAAAGGGAGGTAATAACATTCCCAGTAATATATACAAAAAATGCACTATTGGTAATAAAACATTACCGGGAATGACATTTCCGACCAAACCAAACGAGAAAATGTAGATTTCATTATTGAGGGAATCTCACATTCCCCCATCCATACTGCCCTTTATTGTCGAGTGACCATTTATTGTACTTTAACCCAAAATATATTATGCACACCAGGGATATAAACAGTGTTAGAATCGACATGAATCATTAACGTATAAAAAAACAATATTTTTATTTTTTTTCCACAATGAAATGCAAGCACGAAGCACAATTTTTATATCATATTAGAATAATTTTATTTAAAAATTCAATTAGAATCACCATAAGCTACAAAAGGAAGAATTTCATCAAATGAATGATGGAGAATTAAGAAATATAAAAAAGAAACCAGCCCCATCGCTGTAAATTCCACAGTATTTATCCCCGTGGTAACTTTGAATTTACACACGTCTCTATTGCTGCAAAATCATTTCGCCATTAGTGGCATATGAACCCCATTTTGCCACCTATCATCAACACAAGAACATGTTATGGCTTCAAAACCAAACCCATGTCTCCTTTGAAAATCAATGGAATCCCACCATGACATATGAAGCTTGTCATCTGCATAAGCTGTAATTGTACAAGTCCATGTTTAGCTCCTCCAATGATCTTAATCATTTTGTGGCTGTTGCATTGCCTTGAATTCATCGGATAAAATTCTATCCATTTCCTCGAAGTAGGGCCAACCCTCGGGGCTTTTCTTCTCTCTTGATTTCCTATTGAAGATATGCCAACAGTTGTCGATAAGCACCATTCGTAAAGGGAGAAACAAATTGAAAGTTGCTGCCTTCATCTATGACTAGCGCTATGCAATAAAACCGAGAAAATTGAAAACAGATTCAAACCAGACCAAACTGTCATCGCCCCCTATCAAGAACATTCTTGGTCAATGATAAGAACTTAAACCTAGTGTAAGGAAGAAAGGGTATATGCTAAAGTAGCTAATAATATGTAATCCTTAAGTATTCTACCCCAGAATAAGTATGATGATATATAACCCGTAATTACTCAAGGAGCACTAAAGAGAGAACAAACCTTGTATTTCTGAACCAGAGATGCCCATGTGGATTTACACTGCATAGGGCTTCGACTAATTCCATCAGCCAACAAGTTCGAAGATATTTCTTCCCAAAAGGCCATTCTCCCTTTCACAACTTGAAATCTGTTATGTAATTCACCCCTCATTTCAATTAGCTTCTCAAGCTCCTCGGGTTTCCATTTGTTCCGTTTCGCAGGCTTCAACGACTTTGGTTGAGAGTTGGGCATTTCCATGTCATCTCCACTGCTTGTGGCACCATCATTCTTCATTTCTGACTTATGTTCCTCGTTTGGGACAAACCCATTGTTACCATTTTCCAATTTGTCAGCAGGTGATGATATGATGAATGATTTCCAAAATTCATCAGAATACTCGCTACTGTCTGCATGGTCAGGACTTGAAGTAGAGGTCACTTCCTCGGGTAAGAACGTTTCAACTTCATCATCACCACTGACACCAACTGCAAAAAGAAATCATGAAGACCACGTCAATTTTAGGCAGTGCTTCTATTGCAAAATAAAACAGATTACCAACTCCAATACAAACACACACATCTGTCATTTGTACTTACCTAAGCACAGGCACATATGCAATAGACACTTGCATGGAAAGTGAGAATTGAAGAGACATCGAACAAGAGTACAAGGACAAACCTATAGAATTTTGTTCTGAAGTATTCTCTAAATGCGAATTACCCTCATCTTCTTCTGCTCTTATGTTGTTTGGTTGTCTCCTTTTAGGATGTCCATCTATCACTTTTCTCGATGTCGGTATCTTGAATCCTACATCGGAGTTGCCAGACAGCGTTTCATTTAGCTCATCAGAGAGAACTCCTGCAGGGTTCTCCGATGCAATGGCAATGACTTCTGGCCTCTTACCGCTATGCTTCCTTACCATCTTCCTCAATACCTCAGAAATAGTTCGTTCCATGTGAGCTAGAGGACAATTTACAGGACAGCTCGACAGTGCAGCATGAGCAGCTTTATGGAGTGCATCTAAAAGCTTCCCCTTGTCTAGCCATAAGCAGCGTGTAGTGATTCGTATCTTTCCTTTTAAGCCATTTCCAGTTATGCCATCTATCTTCTGGGGGCGTAAAATTTCCATACTGCAAAAGGGATATGTTAATAGACACGAAACAAATAAGAAATAGGTAAGACTTCATTTCAGCATCTTAAATTCATCTACCTGACCACTATAATGCCATCAGAGGCAATTCTTAGTCTCTCATCAATACAAAGTTCGGTTGACGTGCCAAATGCTTTATCACCATCACTGTACATTAACTGAAATTTAAGAATAAATTCATGAATTTCTCAAAAAAAAATTCCAATTTCGGAACAACGGAGAATACTTTCCAAGGATTGCCAACCTGCAGATTCCCCTTCCCAAGGGAACAAAAACCATTAGACAGAACTCTTCTATTCCTTAAATGAGAAACCCCAAGCATCTCACCATTCTTTATAACCTGATAAAATAATAAGGATTATATTACAATTTTCACCAGTAAAAGTTGGAACCATACCAATCCATAACTATCTAATAACAACAACAATAATAATGACAATAAATAGTGACTTACAGTGGTGTGCCGAATGCCAGTTGATTTCCCAAGTAGCTCATGCTCCTTCAGGAACACGAACTCTCCATGTACAGGTAAAAAATGTTGCGGCTTCACAATCTTAAGCACTTCCTCCTTCAAAATAAAATCCCCATTGAAATTGAATATTACATACAAGTCGCTTCAACTAGAAAAAAAATATTTTTACAATATATATATATATATACAAGTTCCTGTTATATAGCATCAGAAGCCCCATAAATGTATGCACCATGAAGATCTCAACAATGTATAATATTCTATCCTGAATTTTAACTGTTAAGCTGTTTACTTATCCTTTTGCATTCTTATTCTAAAACAAGAAGATAGTGACCAAGAAAATTTCAGAAAGAAAAAAACAATGATGTTCTTACCAGTTCTCCACGATAGCCATGACCAGAAGTGTGTAGCCCTTCATTCTTACCCATCACTATAGTTGATCCAATATCTGATATGCGGTTTAGCATCTTCATTACCCGAGATTCATTTCCAGGGATTACCTGATATTAAAGTACAAAATTGACGTCTTAACAGTTCAATAACTCTTGGGCATGATTAAACACACTCTAAAATAAATAATAATCAAATAACAAACATATCTCCTACACAGGATAGAGAGTCATGGTAGCCCAGAATAGAGAACAAGAAAGATGTGTGCTGCTATTTTTTTTTAATCAGGAAACATTCCCAATTAGAAACAAAATGCATATGATTACCTTAGCTGAATAGAGAACCACATCTTCCTTGTTCAGTTTGAAGGCATGACTGCTTCCATAGGATGCAAGATTCAAGGCTGCCCGTGGTTCTGCCTGACATGATAAAGTGTACAGTCTCAAACCAGCTAACTGGTCAACCGAAAGAATCATTGGTGTTTATATAAATTAACTTACTTGGGATCCAGTTGTGACGATTATCAAATCCTTTGGAGCATAGGCATCAATATCTTCTGCTTTCACCTAAATTATACGGAAAGAACAGAGAGCAAATGATACAAGATAACCAATAGTTTTTCAAGATGAGAGATCATTTTAGTTATCGGTTTCAGGTTTTCTTTTCTTCTTTTTTTTCATAAAAATTAAGATAGCTTATATGGAAATAGCAAATGAATGCACAACTTAAGGCAGAAATCCACTTCAATAAGGGTAAAAGAAGAGATAAAACAAACATGGTTGGAAAAAAAAAATCGCGGGAGAGCTTTAGTTTCAAGGTATGGTCCTAAAGTGCATGAAGTAGGAAAAGAGAATACATGTTACCGAGAATAGGCCAAGAACATAAGCTAAACAAGTACTGCAACATGTTGACGAAACTTTAGTTTCTAGTTGAGTAGCTTGATGTGATAATAACAAACATAAAACTTAAAGGAAGAGTAAAACATAAACTCTCACCACAAAGTAACAAGCAAAGTGTTAAAAGAGCTAATACCAGCGTTGATGGATCAATTGGTGCTTTTCCATCCTTCCAAGCTGCATCTAGATAAGTCCTCAATGACATGTCAACAAATACCTAGTTCAAGGACCAAAAAATCTGAGCTGTCAAAATATATAATCTGTTGCCCAAATTGACACCCATATTGTTCAGACAACTAGGTACAAAGATACCAGTGCAGTCGGACAATACATACCAGCTTTCTACCAGTTAAATCTGCAGCAGCTTTTACACTTCCAAGCCGATGTATATTTGAAGCAAACTGGGTAGTAATAATCCTTCCTTTAGCATTTGAAATATGCCTCAACAATGCATCTGCTACTACACGCTCACTAATTGTCCTTCCAGGTGACAAAACATTAGTAGAGTCACTCATCATCTGTAAACGTCATACATTAACTGAATTAGACATTCATAGCAACAGTTCCAAAAGATCAAGACAAATCTTGACAATCTCTTGTTTATTTTATGGATTTAATTTATACAAAAGAGATGAGTTAATAAGCCTAGGAAGCCAAAGAATAGAGATAAGAAAGATGAGATAGCTATTTATCGTTGAAACTGCGATGAGTACCAAAAATCAAGTGATATGCTATCATTTCAAGACAACTCTCAGTTGATTATAAAAGTTTGAGCAGACATGCCTCAATCACGAGTCATATAATTGAAAATTTATAGTTCATTTTTAAGATCCTCATGAACATTTCACACACCCTCACTTCAACTCCAAAATAGTAACCCTTGCAATCTGCTCCAAGAAACCTCTCACAAAATTAACAGTATATTAAGGAATCTTACAAGTGTTACTCCTTCCTTAGACAGTTCCTCTAAAAACTGCCGATCGAAAATATCCCCGTACAATGCTGATTCATCAATCTGTCATATATATAAAACAGCTTAAGTAACCTGAAAGTTACAATAACATTGAGAATAAAATGTATAGATAAGAAAAAGAACCACCTTCCAGTCTCCAGTGTGAAGAATTGTACCATCAGCACAGCGAAGAACTAATCCACAACAGTCGGGAATAGAATGCGTCACCCTAAGAGGCTCTATTTCAAATGGCCCAGCCATAAATCTCTTCCTGACTTTAAACACCTTAAGCCTAGATGGAACAAAAATCCCATTCTCCTTCAAACGATTTTTGATCAGCTGTTAACATAAATATGCAGCCATTTTCAGCAAGAGATGATAAAGATGGAACAGAAAATTGTCATGTTTGCAACCTCAGTAATATAGATGATTAAGAGGCTGAAACACCTCAAAAATAGTAGGGCCATTCTTTTTCTGACAAGGACAATGACTACCAAGAGCTACCGAGACAAATGTTCATAATTATTAAAAGGAATAGACTTTTTAAGGAGTAATTTTCACAATCTCTAATGATCTTCATTATTGTTTGAGAATTTTAGAACCATCACGTCAGCATCCACAAATGAGTGACTTCTGCCAAATATCACTAGGAATGTCTTATGAAATGAGACAATTAAGTTTTCAAATAATAGTTGCATATATTTGTCAGACCGAAAACTACCTCCATTGTAAAAGATGATGCAAATATTGGAGTGCGGGGATCCAATGCGGGGATAACCTGCTCAAACAGAAATGAAACTAGTAAAATAATGTTAAAAAAATAAAATGCAACGTAAACACCATGCTAGAATGCAGTATCATCAATAACATTACATTACGATACAAATTACCAAATAGAACAGTTTAACTGGTATTTACTGTTGGAAAAATCCTGGTGAATCTAGTACATTTTTCTGAGCGGTTCTAACCCAGTTTAGTGGTGATGCTTTGTAATGTAAGAGAAAGAAGAACAATAACCAAATTCTGAGCAACAGCTTGTTTTGTTCTATATTTGCCTACAGTTACTATTTCATTGGAAATAGCCAACGCAAGTTCGTGATAGCAAGAAATGATGAAACGAAAATATGAAAAAATATAGTCAAGTCATTTCATCCTTTCTTTCACCACCTACCCAAAGCATCATTGATAATGAAACAACCAATCAATAATACACCGAATTCATACAAAGATAGATCATTTTCATGGCTAGAACTAGAATGAGGGCAACAAGAGATACACTCGACCATAAAGATCACTATTACACTGTGCACGGATATCAAGCTACCTTGGCAACACTATAAAGTAGAAAATGATGTAGCTCTAAAAGCAACACCTCCTGCATAAACAAATCAAGCTCCACCAACTAAACATGACATCCTAGAGCCTAGGCAGCTTGAGGCACCAATATAGGTTTCTTCAGCATATCATGCAACTTACTTAGGTATGGGCACGGGACGGGGCGGATTTTTTTCCACCATGACACCAACCGAAAATATTACATACTCCACCTGACCCCGACCTGCCCCGGGAAATAATTTTATTTCACCCACCCCGATCCAAGCCGAAGTAATTTTATTTCCATTTTTAATTGGAAAAATCAAACTAAAGCTTCTTACTTCACCATAAAGAAAAGGCCTAAGAAGTCTAGGTACCCTATCAAAAACTATTTAATAGGTGCTGAAAAGTGAGCATAAAGGTGTAACAAGCTTGACGGAAAAGTAATTACCCAAGGCAACGCACCAATGTGATCTTCATGACCATGTGTTATCACTACTGCTTCAATTTTGTGCCTCCATTTCTTAATAAATGTTGTATCAGGTATAATCTTTTGGACTCCAGGCTCATCATAGCTGAAATGACAATAAAATACACTGTAATGTTAACATTAAAAGAAAAGAAGAGAAGTTAAAGTAGCCAATTCTACACCAGCTCGTTTGATATATATTTGCACAAGTAAAAGATCAACCCCATACTCAAAATTGGACTGCTGTTTGATATATGGAAAATTCTTTAAGAAACAACAGAACTTGGAATAGGAGAACTAATTTTTATCCTATAAGCACATCATTACAAATGGTATGTAAGAACAAGTACTCCAAAACCTTTCTGGAACTCAAAACACACAAGACTTACTCTGGAAACATCACACCCGCATCAACTAGAATATAGCGATCATAATTCCCGACAAGCATGCAATTCATCCCGATTTCACCCAAACCACCAATTGGAAGGACCCGAAGAGGGGGCCCAGCATTCCCTTCATAGAACTGCTCCATCTTGCGGTGGACAGAGTCTTCCATACTTGTTTTAGCCCCCTCCAATCTTCCAGAATATTTGCGAGGTACTTCAGTTCTTCTTGTACCTAAAACCACACAAGATCATAAAACAACCATAATTCTGAAGCATGAAAATCACGGGAAAAACTAACAACAGCAACAGGTTACTTATCAAATGGAAGATCCCGTAGATGATGTAACTAAAACTCTCAACTTAGTTCTCTATTCTTTGTTTCAATATCCATAAAAGGATTTACCTAGACATCTCACGTGTCGGGTTGGTTTGGGGTTGGACCAATTTGGGTTTGAAATGTTTGGGTTGCTTTCAGTTCAGGTCATCGGAGTTTAAGGCTCAGTTTCAAGTTAGATCATTTCGGGTTCGACCATTTCATATTACTTAATCTGTCATTTGGGTTTGAATCATTTCCAATTTCATATCAATTTGTGTTCGAGTTGTTAGCTTTTCATGATCAAATTGGATTAGGTTGATGATTTGGATTATCCAATTCAGGTCAGAACTTACAGGTCTATAATTACCCAACCAGTTCTAAATCCCTCCATTCCTCCTTGCTTCCCTAATTAAAAACATCAGCAAAAACCAGTCTAAACCCGCCTTCCTCCCTCCAGCTTAAAACAAACACAAAACAGAAAAGCTTCATAAAACAACATAAAAAGGACAATTACATATGGCATGCACATGGGTTAAGTAAATACAACAACATAAAGAAAGAGAAACCTATAGGAGTAGTAGAGCCGACGAAGCAAGAAAAATAACGATTTTTTGAGCCAGGCCGACGAGAGAGTATGTACGGACAAAGCGAAAGAGCAGTGGAAGCAGCCATTTTCGCCGGGTCTTTCAGTGGCGTGAAAGAAGCGACGTGAAGAGGGCACGAAACCTGCCTAAAATCCTTATTGTATCTGGTTTTTAAGGTTTCATAAATAACGGAAAAGAGGGATTGTCTTAGGAAAAGCGGATTAATATAAGGTTTTATCAGATACATAAAAATGTATTTAATAAATTCGGTTTAGCGGTACCTATTATGTTGACAACTAATAATGTTTTAGGTAGAAAATATGAAAAACTATTAAAAAATTTGGTAACCGATAAACTTTGGTTATCGGTAAGTATCTATCCTTTTTATAAAAGTGTCCATACTTTTAACATATCAAGTAAATTTTACCGGTTTTGTCATAATGAATCTGGTTTTGTCATATTTTTACATGTTATATTGTAAAGTATCTATCTTTTTTATAAAAGTGTCCATACTTATTTCACTGTGAAAATATATTTATTATTATCTTTGGTTAATATTGTTAAATTTAAATTCTAAATAATATTTTATAAATATCAAAACAATCAAATAATTTTTTGTGTAAATGAAATTATTAAATTAATATTGTAGGTGGAAAATGAAACACTATTAAAAAAAATTGAAACATAAATTACATAACTTTAAAAAAAATATATATCATTTTTATAAAAGTGTCCATACTTATTTCACTGTAGAAAACATATTTATTATTATATTTGGTTAATATTGTTAAATTTAAATTCTAAATAATATTTTATAAAATATCAAAACAATCAAATAATTTTTTGTGTAAATGAAATTATTAAATTAATATTGTAGGTGGAAAACATGAAACACTATTAAAAAAATTGAAACATAAATTACATAACTTTAAAAAAAGTATATATCATTTTTATAAAAGTGTTCATACTTATAAAAGTAGGTCTAAGTCATGAAGAAATATTAAAAAATTGTGCTACCGGTTCGTGTTGATCCAAATTAAAAATGTGTCGATCCAAAATGATATAACAGGTAAAACTATGACTAAACCGGTATAGAAATGATAAAACCGGTAAAGCGCTACCGGATACATTTAAAGTGTCGTTACTTTAATATAAGGATCGACACTTCGTGAATTTAAAAGAGAAGCAGTTTTAAATCCTATAAAGTGTCGATACTTTTAAAAAATGTATCGATCCAGTACGATATACCAGGTAAAAATATGATAAAACCGGTAACAAAATGATAAAACGGTAAAACGTTACCGGATATATTGAACGTGTCGATACTTTATATAAGGATCGACACTTTGTGAATTTAAAAGAGAAGCATTTTAGCGCCTATAATGTCGATACTTTAAAAAATATATCGATCCACAACGATATAACAGGTAAAATATGATAAAACGGTATCAAAATGATAAAACCGTAAAATGATACCGGATATATTGAAAATGTCGATACTTTCGTAAGTACGTGTAATAAATTATCGACACTTTCAAAGAAATAGGTAATTATCCTTTCGAAAGTATCGACACCTGACATAAAAGTATCGACACTTTTGTATTTGTATCGATTAAATATAAATAACATATCCGATGAAAATATAAGCTAAATATCCTCTGAAAATAGATAGAACGGACGAGTTTTGAAATCGAAGCGTAATTGTTGCTGCATTTCAGAAGGCGTTTCTAAAGCGAAGTTTGTTTGTTTGTTGCTGCAGTCGAATCGAAAAGTATGTTGTCGAAACCCTAGTTTTTTATTATTACAGTAATCGCGATAGGGTTTTTATGTGTTGTTTGGGGTTTTGGAGTAAAGAAGCATTTGTGACCGATTGCAGGTAGAAAATGATATTCAAGAAAAAAATATAAATGTCGATACTTTTATTAAATATTATAGGTAGAAAATGATATTATAGGTTGTATAAATGTGCCGACACATTTTGGTGTGGCCATTCAAATTCTTTTGAAGAAAACCGTTTTACCACAAGAGTAGTTATCTATATTTGTATATTGAATAAAGTGTATGTAACAAAATAATTTGATTTGCGTAAACTGATATATGAAGGAAAAATGGAGTCAATGGGTTGGAAAATTGTTGGTGGAGCAGATGACTTTGAAATTGAGGCCGAGACTCGAAAGCAACCAAAGGGTGGATATATGTACTTCTAGTAAGAATCAATGTCTTTTTGTTATTATTGTTGAAATGGTAATTGGATTAAAGTATCGATAAACTTTAAATTGATTACAAATTTTAAATGTTGATAGTATGGCCGAATGCAAAAGGATGAAGGAAGATGGCACACAGAGCGGTTCGGTATGTAAAATGAAATTGACATTGAGTAGTATTTAGTGTTAATGTATTAATTAAGAAACGTTTATGTTTTATATTAGGTGACAAAAGATGTGAGGTCCAAATGGAATTCAATGAGTGATGCTGAAAAGGAACCTTACATCACACAGTCAATGAATGATAGTAAAGAATACAAAGAACGGAGGAAAGCACATGAAAATAAGGTATTCATCAAACTTGTAAATACTTTGATACAAAATATATAAGAACTATAACATTATATATTGTTAAAAAATGTAGGAAGTGTCGACAAGATGCAGCATTAAAAGGGTGAATTTATTAATTAAACACCTTAAGGAGAAGGGTCAGTTGAATGTGCTGGGAGAAATAGGTTTTGGATCGTTGGTAGGAGTAAGGGATCGACCTATTCGGAGGGAATTGTGTCGATCCTTGATGGCGCAATTTGATGTCAGACAATGTATTGCTAAATATGGTGATTTTTCATTTCCTCTCGGGATCCCATGTGTTGCAGCCGTATTGAGGGTAGAAAATGAAGGCAAAAGTGTTGTAGAAGTCTGTAAGAGTAAGGACTGGAAAGCACTTGCCTCCAAATATGGGTTGAAGCATAAGGTGACATATGCTGAAATTGAAGCGAAAATAAAAAGTGGATCTTACGTTGGGGATGAGCTGAAGGCCAGAGTTCTATTATACCTTGTCGGTATCTTTCTTTGTCCAACGGGTAATACGTCAACGAACAAAGAACATATGAAGCTCATTTGTGATGAAGGCTTGAAGGGTGAATTCAATTGGGCTGAATATATACATTCGAGATTGATTGAATCAATAATCACATTTAAAAAGGGCAGCCAGAGATACCTCAAAGCAATCTTAGAGGTAAATGAGTTGAAGAACTTTTTGTAAGTTTTTATATAAAAATATAAATTTTATTATAAATGCAGGTTGCACTGTTCGATTTTTGGTCGGGCTGTGAGGCAGTGCCGGCTTATGAAAGAACCAGAGTGGCACGCATCCGTGCATGGGGGAAGGAAGAGGTGGTTAGAGTGATGGTGAAGTTGAAGTTGGATAGAGCGAAGAAGCAAGAAAGGGTAATAAATGTAATTAAATAATATTAAGAATATAATCAATGTCTTAATATTGTAATTTAATTTTGAAGGTTATTGGCAAGGATGTAGAGGAGGTAGTGGAGGCAGAGGAGAAGAAAGGAGGGATGGTTGTATTGGGGGATGACGGTGAGTGGGACGACAGTGAGGGAAAACAGAGTAACTTCGACATTTTGATGTCTGAATTGGCTGATATCAAAAAAATCCAATTTGAAATCATGCAAAGACAATCAAGAGTCGAAGAGAAACTTGATAGAGTCGAAGAGAAACTTGAGAGAGTCGAAGATACACTTGAGATGCATAAGGGGGTAGTGGAAGGAAAAATAGATGGAGTGGTGAAAGAAGTAGAGGTGTTGAGGGGTGAAGTGGTGAAAGAAGTTGGGGTGTTAAGGGGTGATATTAAGATGGTGACGGGTGAAAAATTTGAGGGAGTGGTGAAGGAGGTTGTGGAATTGAGGAGTGAACTTACGGGGCTGAAGGGGGTGGTTGATAAATACTTGGATGAAGGAGATCAATTGAATGGTGAAATAAAAGAGATGAAGAGCTATGTAGAAAAAAATACGATGAACTGAAAAAATATGAAGAAGAAAAGAGGGAGGAGGAAGAAGAAGAGATGGAAGAAATGAGGAGGAAGGAAGTCGATGTCATTTATACACCAGAGAGTGTTATAGCAGCAGATTTGGATTTGGAATGTCCTGCACCACAGAAGAAGAAGCAGAAGGTAAGTTGAATAAAAGAAAACTTAATTTGATTTTTATTATGTTGTTGTGACAAAAATTTGTATGCAAAATTGTAGGTTGAAAAAGCGGATATTCCAAGCGGAATTGATGACATCGAAGCTGCAATTTGTGATTATTTATGGAATAGTGAGTTAGAATCGGAGTAAGTGAAATATATTGCTTTGTGAGTTATATTTAAATATTTCATGACAACATATTAATCCTAATGATTCATACAGATATTCTGTAATCTCAATGGGAAATCAATTCGCTAGTGTATACGACGTTGCAACGTTGAAGCCTACGGAATGGGTTGGCGGTGTGGTAAGTAGAAAGTAAAAAATGTTAAAACTTATTGAATATATTCTGATTGTGTAATTAATTTTGTTAGGTTATTGATTTGCTCGCCTGGACAGTATGCTACGATTCTCAGAAGTCACTCCGGAGGATTGGCTACCTTCCATACCACTTAGCGGTGAGTTAAATTAATAAATGGAGATAAGTAGTGTTATAGACGGTAAATTAATAATGTTTGTTGCGTAATTACAGCAGCAGGCTTTGGATGCCAACAGCAAAGAAAGTGTTGAGGGTATTGCTACCTTCTGGGGTCCCATACTGAATAACTATGTGAAATTCACCGACTGTGAGAAGGTAAGACACCATACCAATTGCAAATGATGTTTTCGGATATAGAATGTTGAATTTTGTCAAATTGGGTGTGAAATTTGTTGCAGATCATGATCACAATAAACTACCATAATTCACATTGGTATCTGTTGGTGTTGGATATGGTAGATCGTGTTGCAACAATATATGATAGTTGTTACAACTGAAGCAGCTAAACAGAGAGTGAAGGATGCTAAGAGATTGGTATGTATGTATGTATGAAAGGACATTATGTAAATTATAATGCATAATTTTTTTGGATCATAACTTATTCTATTTTAATGCAGATTAAAATATTAGATTCTTATAATAAGAAACGCATTTGGGTTGAATCTTGTGGA